TTCCTGCTTTTCCTTTTACCTGGAGAAGAAGCACTAGCAAGCAACTTGCTGAGGCCAAATGAAAGCAAGTCCTCTCTACCCCATAAAATTAACCACCTTTCCCGTCACAAAGGGTGCAAGACCTTTATACTGGAACACAACTGGCAACAGATTTCCATATTTCAGAAACTGAGTAAACAGCAGAGCATGACTTGAGAAAACAGGCACTATGCGACCACTTCTCTCACTGCTATTTCAAAAAGCCTCAACATCAAGTCCCTCAACATCAAGTCACGCATATTGTATGACTTATTATTTGTTGTTGTTTTAAAAAGAAAGTGCCTGTTTGAATCTTGCTTGGAAGAGGCTATAAGCTTTTTATAATCCCACACCACGTGTGTGTCTCATTTCCTTATCTCTCTCATCTCTATGCAGGTTGCAACTTTGAAAGGGGCATACACATTCTGTGAAACGGTATCTCTGGATTTCTTTACTTTTTTATTTAATGTCCACTGACATGGGAAGTTATCTGGAAATCTCACACAGTTTTATACATATATGCACACACAAAGACAGAGCTTTAAATTTATTTGAGTGATTGTAAATGTAAGATTTTATGTAGTTCTCCTTTACTAAAGTTTCTAACTGATCTTCTAACCAAGTGTGCAGTAAATGCACTGAAGAGTGCTATTCTCTGAAGAGCAGCTAATTTAAAACTTATTTTTCAAAGAGCTACTCCTTAAAGTATTCATGCTCTCCTGTTTGCTTACAGTAGGGTCAAAAAGGTCTTCATTAGCACGTAGAGATAACCTTGTACAGCATAACTGAGTCTGTGGCCCTCTGGCGCCAGGAGAAAGGGGAAGCAGGCATCGGCCTTTGGTCTCCTGTCACTTATGTCTGCAGCTGAGGTCCCGGCATGAAGTCCCCCACCGTCTGTGTCTCCCCTGTTTCTAGCCAGTTACACAGAGCCTTTTTTATTAATGTGTTATCTTCCATGAATTAATCAGTCTTGATGCAGAAGTAGCCTTGGACTTCTAAGAGCACAAATGATATTAAAGAAGATCACTTCTCTCATTTAGGCTGCAAGGAGTTCAGTGTCTATGTGCAGTCCTATCAAAAGCATATTGAGTTCTGCTTGAATAATCTGTGTACTAGGTTATAAGATGGATATTTTTTCCCCTAATTGAAGCACTGCTTGAAGCTCTAGGCATATGATTCCTACTGGCTTTGACCAGAGGGGTAAGTAAAACTCAACACCTATTTGTGGAGCATAGCTGGCAAATGCTCCTCCAGGTCATTCAGTTTCCTACTAACCTCAATTTTGTTTCTTCCTCAAAATATTTTTAGAATAGCAGGAACTTTTCAATATGCTTTTATTCTAATTGTATATTTGATTTAAATGAAAACTCATAAAACACCCCCAGCTGTCTCTTCTGCCTTCAATTTGAGTTTTTCAGAAAATGATCTTTCTGAAAATGAAATGCTGCACTGCAGTGATTCATCACATCTCCTGACAAATGATCCCACCCAGCATTCACCAATCTGTCAGCTTCTCTTGTTTGTCTCTGGGCTACCAGTCCTCAGCCAGGCAAAATGTCTATCACAAAACAGGGGCTGTAAGTACTACATTAAATATTCTGCAATTTGAATCTGCTGCGTTCTCCCATACGCAAGCCAGGCCCTTCACAAAGCACAACTCTATCTAGTGAAGGAGCACAATGAAGCATAATAAAAACTCTCAGCAGGCAAACCATTACTCTGACGAGATGCCTATTTTTAGTCATGTGGAATACTAGAGATTTCCTTAGAAGAAAGAGTTTCTGAAAGGTCAGGCAGTAAAAACCTTTTATCAATTTGGAAGTGAAGCACAGAAAAATTCTTTTCCTCCTTGGGATTCACTGACAAACAGATAAGAGGTGTAAGCTTCAAGCTGGCAGCCCATCCATGTCAATTCCTAGGACTTCTGGTTTCAGACACATTGGAGGCTTGCTCATGCTTATCAGCGTCATCAGATTTCAGTGGTGCTTCTACTAACGTAAGTTAAATGTGTCCTGTTGCTTAGTGTGGTAATCCACTACAATCCGTGACTGCCAGAGAATCACTTCTTAGAGCGGGGCATGCATATTACTAGCATTTTATCTAAGGTAAGATCCTGTTCCCACTGCAATTAGCACCAATACTTTCCCAGTGACTTCCATTAGGCCCTGATTTGGCTCTTAAATCTCTCATTGTCCTATTAAAAAGACTTTCTAAAAAACATATACTACTCTAAGGTAGACAAGTCATGTGCAGAGAGTTTCAGGCACTGGAT